AAGTACTATTATATCAGCAATTCACCTCTAAGTACTATTATATCAGCAATTCACCTCTAAGTACTATTATATCAGCAATTCACCTCTAAGTACTATTATATCAGCAATTGACCTCTAAGTACTATTATACCAGCAATTGACCTCTAAGTACTATTATATCGGCAATTGACCTCTAAGTACTAGTATATCTGCAATTGACCTCTAAGTACTATTATATCAGCAATTGACCTCTAATTACTAGTATATCAGCAATTAACCTCTAAGTACTATTATATCGGCAATTGACCTCTAAGTACTATTATATCAGCAATTGACCTCTAAGTACTATTATATCGGCAATTGACCTCTAAGTACTATTATATCAGCAATTGACCTCTAAGTACTATTATATCGGCAATTGACCTCTAAGTACTATTATATCAGCAATTAACCTCTAAATACTATTATATCAGCAATTGACCTCTAAGTACTATTATATCGGCAATTGACCTCTAAGTACTATTATAACAGCAATTGACCTCTAAGTACTATTATATCAGCAATTGACCTCTAAGTACTATTATATCGGCAATTCACCTCTAAGTACTATTATATCAGCAATTGACCTCTAAGTACTAGTATATCAGCAATTGACCTCTAAGTACTATTATATCAGCAATTGACCTCTAAGTACTATTATATCAGCAATTAACCTCTAAGTACTATTATATCGGCAATTGACCTCTAAGTAATATTATATCAGCAATTGACCTCTAAGTACTATTATATCAGCAATAGACCTCTAAGTACTATTATATCAGCAATTGACCTCTAAGTACTATTATATCAGCAATTGACCTCTAAGTACTATTATATCGGCAATTGACCTCTAAGTAATATTATATCGGCAATTGACCTCTAAGTACTATTATATCAGCAATTGACCTCTAAGTACTATTATATCGGCAATTGATCTCTAAGTACTATTATATCAGCAATTCACCTCTAAGAACTATTATATCGGCAATTGACCTCTAAGTACTATTATACCAGCAATTGACCTCTAAGTACTATTATATCGGCAATTGACCTCTAAGTACTATTATATCAGCAATTCACCTCTAAGTACTATTATATCAGCAATTGACCTCTAAGTACTATTATACCAGCAATTGACCTCTAAGTACTATTATATCGGCAATTGACCTCTAAGTACTATTATATCAGCAATTGACCTCTAAGTACTATTATATCAGCAATTGACCTCTAAGTACTATTATATCAGCAATTGACCTCTAAGTACTATTATATCAGCAATTGACCTCTAAGTACTATTATATCAGCAATTGACCTCTAAGTACTATTATATCGGCAATTGACCTCTAAGTACTATTATATCAGCAATTGACCTCTAAGTACTAGTATATCAGCAATTGACCTCTAAGTACTATTATATCAGCAATTGACCTCTAAGTACTAGTATATCAGCAATTGACCTCTAAGTACTATTATATCAGCAATTGACCTCTAAGTACTATTATATCAGCAATTGACCGCTAAGTACCATTATATCAGCAATTGACCTCTAAGTACTATTATATCAGCAATTGACCTCTAAGTACTATTATATCGGCAATTGACCTCTAAGTACTATTATATCAGCAATTGACCTCTAAGTACTACTATATCGGCAATTGACCTCTAAGTACTATTATATCAGCAATTGACCGCTAAGTACTATTATATCAGCAATTGACCTCTAAGTACTATTATATCAGCAATAGACCTCTAAGTACTATTATATCAGCAATTGACCTCTAAGTACTATTATATCGGCAATTGACCTCTAAGTACTATTATATCAGCAATTGACCTCTAAGTACTATTATATCAGCAATTGACCGCTAAGTACTATTATATCAGCAATTGACCTCTAAGTACTATTATATCAGCAATTGACCTCTAAGTACTATTATATCGGCAATTGACCTCTAAGTACTATTATATCGGCAATTGACCTCTAAGTACTATTATATCGGCAATTGACCTCTAAGTACTATTATATCAGCAATTGACCTCTAAGTACTATTATATCAGCAATTGACCTCTAAGTACTATTATATCAGCAATTGACCTCTAAGTACTATTATATCAGCAATTGACCTCTAGTACTATATATCAGCAATTGACCTCTAATTACTAGTATATCAGCAATTAACCTCTAAGTACTATTATATCGGCAATTGACCTCTAAGTACTATTATATCAGCAATTGACCTCTAAGTACTATTATATCGGCAATTGACCTCTAAGTACTATTATAACAGCAATTGACCTCTAAGTACTATTATATCAGCAATTGACCTCTAAGTACTATTATATCGGCAATTGACCTCTAAGTACTATTATATCGGCAATTGACCTCTAAGTACTATTATATCAGCAATTGACCTCTAAGTACTATTATATCAGCAATTGACCTCTAAGTACTATTATATCGGCAATTGACCTCTAAGTACTATTATATCAGCAATTGACCTCTAAGTACTATTATATCGGCAATTGACCTCTAAGTACTATTATATCAGCAATTGACCTCTAAGTACTATTATATCAGCAATTGACCTCTAAGTACTATTATATCGGCGATTGACCTCTAAGTACTATTATATCAGCAGTTGACCTCTAAGTACTACTATATCAGCAATTGACCTCTAAGTACTATTATATCAGCAATTGACCTCTAAGTACTATTATATCAGCAATTGACCGCTAAGTACTATTATATCAGCAATTGACCTCTAAGTACTATTATATCAGCAATTGACCTCTAAGTACTATTATATCAGCAATTGACCTCTAAGTACTATTATATCAGCAATTGACCTCTAAGTACTATTATATCAGCAATTGACCTCTAAGTACTATTATAACAGCAATTGAACCTCTAAGTACTATTATATCAGCAATTGACCGCTAAGTACTATTATATCAGCAATTCACCTCTAAGTACTATTATATCAGCAATAGACCTCTAAGTACTATTATATCAGCAATTCACCTCTAAGTACTATTATATCGGCAATTGACCTCTAAGTACTATTATAACAGCAATTGACCTCTAAGTACTATTATATCAGCAATTGACCGCTAAGTACTATTATATCAGCAATTCACCTCTAAGTACTATTATATCAGCAATAGACCTCTAAGTACTATTATATCGGCAATTGACCTCTAAGTACTATTATATCGGCAATTGACCTCTAAGTACTATTATATCGGCAATTGACCTCTAAGTACTATTATATCAGCAATTGACCTCTAAGTACTATTATATCGGCAATTCACCTCTAAGTACTATTATATCAGCAATTGACCTCTAAGTACTAGTATATCAGCAATTGACCTCTAAGTACTATTATATCAGCAATTGACCTCTAAGTACTATTATATCAGCAATAGACCACTAAGTACCATTATATCAGCAATTGACCTCTAAGTACTATTATATCAGCAATTGACCTCTAAGTACTATTATATCGGCAATTGACCTCTAAGTACTATTATATCAGCAATTGACCTCTAAGTACTATTATACCAGCAATTAACCTCTAAGTACTATTATATCGGCAATTGACTTCTAAGTACTATTATATCAGCAATTCACCTCTAAGTACTATTATATCAGCAATTGACCTCTAAGTACTATTATATCAGCAATAGACCTC